GAACTAAAACAATTTCCGAGGCCAACTCTTCAGACAGGGATTGGACTGGACTGTGGGACATAAAGTGATACTTGTGAAGAATGTGCCTCTTAGACAAGTAGATACAAGAGAACAAAGGGGCAGCTTCTGTCCAGAGGTGAGAGGGGAAGGCAGAGAGAGTTAGGAGCTGGCTGAATGTTCATGGGGAATCAGGCGCGGAGGGGAGGAGTGTACCGTCGCAGAATGGGGTGAGCGGTTGGGGTCTCATAACAATGTATGTTAAAAAAAAAAATATCTGTATGGGAGACTAACTTGAAATGTAAACTTCATTTCATTACAACGATTAAAAAAAAAAAAGCCATCCGCTTGTGGTATTTCTGTTACAGCAGCACTAGATTACTAAGAGAGATAGGAACTATTATAATCTCCATTTAAAAAAATTAATTGATGTGAATCAACTTGCCAAGGATTATAAAAATAGGGAAAGACAGAATTAACAAACCTAGCAATACCAAGGCACAGTATTTCATCATCTATATGTTCTAGAATTTATGTACCCATTTTACAATTTTTAAACATTTAAGTTGTTTCCAATACTTCACTAATATGAACTAGCACTATATGAGCACCTTGAACATAGAATTTTGTTGGAATCACCGATTATTTCCTTGTAATCAAGTCTTAGAATCTTACATGATTCTTCCTTGTAATCAATTCTAAGCTTTGAGTTTAGAATTCCTGAGCTCCGAGAATTATTGGGTTGAGGGGGTAGCAATTTTTTAATTTAGCAATTTTTTGATGCATATTGCCAAATTATTATTTTCCAAAGGGTCTATACTTGTTCACACCCTATCATCAAAATTTGAAGAGCTCTTGTCTTACTGCATCCTCGCTGATGTCTTTGCCAACATGATAAGCAGAGGAGAGCTCATTGCTTTAACAGACATTTTCTTAATCTCTAGGGAAGTTGAACGTCATTTAAAAATCTTCCCTGACCATTTATATTTCTTCTAGTGTAAATTGTCTGCTCATTTTTATGGCCTCTTTTGATTTTTATTCACATATTCCAGAGCTTATATCTCAAAGTGAGTATTGCCCACTTCATAGGGATTACTTAGACAATGTAATGATAATACCTTTTGGTAAAAGAGATTTGGAATTCCTTTATGGGGCTTGCATGAAAAGTAGTTTATAAACCACACAGGAAAAGAGAAAGTTCTTTGTATAAAGCATTATTATTACTTTTAAAGTGTTATTTTTATTTATAAAAAGAATTTTATTTTTCAGGTTGGCTTCAAATAAGTTTTGACTGTCTGCTTTTATCAAGTCTACTCTCAAGGGAGTAAGAATTATCATTACAGAAGTTATCTGTAGTAGAGACTGTTGGTGCCTTGCCTACAGTCTCCTTCAACTGGCTGGTGCACCCATCCCCCAGGCGCTCTGAGTAATAGCTGCTGATGACCCATGCCTGCCCCTTCCTCAGAGCATTGTCCTCTGCTGAACAAGAGTGGCATTCTTTATAGGTTATGCACTCCCTTATGGCCCAAGGCAGTGAGTGACCAATGACTGATAGACACAGGGGTATATCCTTGTCTCAAGGTGGGACCAACAACATTGTGCAATTTGTTCTCTGAAGCTTTCTGTGGGACCAGACTGATGCTAGTCTTCAGCCGAGACTATATCCTTACCTAGCTTTTCCCCTTGCCCTATCCTGTTTCCCTCACTTCCCTTCCCCTGAGAGTGCTTTTTAAAAAATGACTTTCATGAGAGTCCCCATCTCAGGCTCTGTGTTTAGGGAACTTGACCTAATACAGTCAGTATCAAAAGTGGTCCTAGGAATACCTACCTGGGAGGGGAAATATCGTGATCATGAAGGTGGTTTTCCCAGGGCAAGGATCATCCATTATACTGAGGATGAGCTGACCCCTGCAACTTCCCCATACATGGGAAACTTTATTGCATAATTTGTGCTAGGGGGGACTGTTTGTGCTTTCCCCTGAATTAAAAAAAAAGAAAAAGAAAGGAACGAAGGAAAAGTGATTGAAGGAAATAAATTCTAAGGATAGGATTCTTGACATGGATCCCTAGCTGAGTAGAAGATGGTATGTGGGGTAGTGATAGTCTCTATGACGCTATCGCAGTGCAATGGTAAGAATTGCACCCATGGTGAACAGGATACAGGTGGAAAGGGATGAAAGATCTCTAGGCTTTGAGAGGTATGGAGAAAAGAGTAAACCTAAAACTGTGGAATTGGTAAGCTGCTGCTAAATGCCGTTTATTAATTGGAGAAAGAAAATGCAAGGTTGTAATCTATTAATCAGCAATTGAAAGCAAAGTGTGAGAGTCAGAGAAACTCTTTGATGGCACTTAGACACACTCATCTCCTGAAGCCAGACAACAGACAGAGCCGAAGAGCAAGCATTGAACCTAATTGTAAGGTTAGTAGAACTTTAAATCAGGCTGAATTCTCAGCCTCGGCAAATATCCTAAGCCAAAGACAAGACACTAATAGGAAAAGACTGAAACCCTGAGACTTGGGATACAGATATATGGGTAAATGTACTTGAGAACCTTGAACCTTCAAATTTCAGATTCCCCTGGATCTTCTGGGCATGCAGAAGTGACCCACTCCCCCTTGTTGGAAGGTAAGTCCCTCTTTCCTTTCCTGAAGATAATTCAGAGGCCTCAAGTGAGGCAAATGCCTTATAAGACAATGCTTTTCCTTCTTGCAGAGCCCTGGTGGCGTAGTGTTTAAGAGCTTGGCTGCTAACCAAAAGGTCAGTAGTTTCAATTCACCAGCCACTCCTTGGAAACCCTACGAGGGAGTTCTACTCTGTCCTATAAGGTCGCTACGAGTCGGAATTGACTTGACGGCAATGAGTTTTCCAGCACCACCTTCCCTCCTGACCACCCAACCTATAATCAGAGTCGCATCTCAGTATAACTCCACTGGGCAGTGCTGAGCCTGATAAAGGGAGAGAGAGCTGATACGTCAAAGGAGGTACAGAAACTGGCTAATATGTACCAGGAGGTACTGGGTAAGCACGCCTCAAAGTGGATACTGAGGACACTGGATTATGGTGGGAGGATAAGGGAAAGTTTACCAATATAGGGCTAACGGCCTTACGAGTAAGGCTGTGAACTGGTTCTTCCCGGTTCAGTCATGGCTGAGGGGGCAACACCGGAACAGACCCAAATTTTTTAAATTTAGGTGAACCAGAATAGGAAAAATTACGGGTCGAAGCCCTGCTGGAAATTAATCTCCCTTTTAGAAAATAAGGGCAGTGTATGTGCTACATAGCAACCAAATCTCTTGCCCATCAGATTTTCAGCAGAGGTGGAAACAGCGTTGCCCCAGTCAAAGATGGCAGCCAACCCCACAGCTTTGAATGTGTGTTGTGCTCCATAGTACTGCCAATAATCCATTCTCACACATCAGGCTCCTGAAAGGGCTCACTATGCCTCTTCTGAGTTTCCCATTCCAGTGGTTTGACTTGTAGTTTTTCCCCTTTGCATTATGATTTCGGATCACCCAAGTTGTAACAATTCGGGTGTGTTCTGGTTTCCCTTTGTCGGCCATGACTAAACTGGTTGAAAGTGGTTCAAAGCCCTGCTCAAGAGATATGTTTAATATACTGCTAGGATAGTTTTTAGTGTTTAGAAAAAATGACAGATTGCATTAAATAAAAATAGAGATACCAGACTGGCCTGTAAACAGATGGAGGAAGGGATGAAAAGTCTCAGAGAACTGAGCATGCTAGAATGGGCTAACTCTATACGAGAGGAAAACCCACCAGCTAACTACGTTCCTCAGTCTGTTCCAGAGAACACTCCATTTACCAAGGTGAAAAGGAATGCACTGGGAGGGGCTTAAAGGAAGACACCAGAACCGTTAATAACAATAGAGGCTGTTCTCTGAGGCTGGGGTCAACAGCAGAAGATGCTATTCCAGAACTGTGCTCCCTAGTATCAATGAGGATAATAGGATTCACGTAATAGCAGAGGTCAGGTGGTAGCCCTAAACTATCAGAAGCAAGGTGGATGTAATTACTGTAATGGGCAGCAACATTGGAATGGCACCCAGGGAGATCTGATCTGCAGGTGTTTATGAAGATACCTAATAGTTCATGTTGTTCCTAAGGACAACATAGATTATAGCCAATCAGAATATTGCTTAATACATAAAATCAAAATAAATCAATAACAGATGAACAGAAGGCTAAGGCCAGCCATCCCAGTAGAAAATCAGGATCTATTTCCCATTTCCAAACCTGAATTCTCACAGCCAGAGTCCATTGACTAAAAGAGGGGTTGGGTAGCATGATACTGTAGCACCATAACAAGTATATACTATAGTGATTCACCTAGTCTTTCCCCAAAGAGATTACGACCATTTACTCAGGTAACCATACACTGGGAAAAGGGAATACCCAGTTCTTTCAATGGTTGTTGGATACAAGGTCAGAGGTGAGCCTGATACATGACAACTCAAAGAGCCATCATGACCTCTATTAGAATAGAGATGTATATGGGTCAAGTAATAAGTGGAGTCCTGACCCAGATCTGTCTCTCAATTGTTGAACTGGGTCCATGGACCCACCCAGTCATTGCATCCTTAGCTCTCAGATGGACTGAACATACGTGGATTGAACATACTTATCAGCTGGCAGAATACTTACATTGAATCTTTGGCCTGTAGAATAAGAGTAATTTGCAATAGGCAAGACCATGCGAAAGTTCCCAGAACTGCACCTTTTGGCCAAGATAGTAAATCAAAACCCTCTCCATCCTAGTGGGGAATGGCAAAGATTAGTGCCACCCTCAAAGACATAAAGGACATAGGGGTGATGGTCCCCATAATATTCTCATTTAGTTTATGAAAACTGGATCATGGGGGAAAACAGTGGCCTGGTAGTTAAAAGTTATGACTGCTAACCAAAAGACTGGCAGTTTGAATCCACCAGCTGTTCCCTGGAAACCCTATGGGGCAGTTCTACTCTGTCCTATAGGGTGACTATGAGTTGGAATCATCTCAGTGGCAATGGGTTTGGCTTTTTTTTTTTTTTTTGGACAGTTGTAAGAAAACAAAAATTCTCACAACTGATCCAATAAATAACATTATGATAAACGGCAAAGAAATTGAAGTTGTCAAGGATTTCATTTGACTGGATCAACAATTAATGTCCAGAAGCAGCAGTCAAGAAATCAAATGACATATTGAAATGGAAAATCTATTGTGAAAGATCTCTTTAAAGTGTTGAAAAGCAAAGATGTCATTTTGATGACTTAGGTGCACTTGACCCAAGCCGTGGTGTTTTCAATCACCTCATATGCTTGTGAAAGCTGGACAATGAAAAAGGAAGATTGAAGAATGATTGACACATTTGAACTGTAGTGTTGAAGAATATTGAGTATACTGTGGACTGCCAGAAAAATGAACAAATCAATTTTGAAGGAAGTATAGCCAGAATGCTCCTTAGAAGTGAGGATGGGGAGACTGCGCCTTGCTTATTCTGGACACGTCATCAGGAAAGACCAATTGCTAGAAAAGGACATCATACTTGGTAACGTAGAAGGTCAGTGAAAAGAGGGAAGACCATCCATGAGATGGACTGACACAATAATTACAACAATGGGCTCAAACATACCAACAGTTGCGAGGATGGGCAGAACATGGCAATGTTAAACGTAAGGTCACCACGAGCCAAATTAACAAGACACCAGTTGTAGTTGATACCCTGAAAGTATAGGACACTATCTTTCAGGATGCTGTAATATCTTAAGACAACAAAAATCATGTCATGCTGTGTTCCCAGCAGTAGAATACATAGGTCTAGGAATCAAGGAGTGTCCCCACTGACATTCATTTCCCATGACCTACTTGGGGAGTTTGTGCTTTCTGTTCCTTCCACTTTAGACTCCGGTTTTAGAGATCCTGAGCTCTAGAGGGGATCACTTTCATCAGGGGACACAGTAAGTGCCACTATAGTTAACATTTCAGCTGCTACCTGGTCGCTTTACTTTAGGCTCCTCGTACCATTAGACCAGCAGGCACAGCGAGGGGTAACCATTTTGTCAGGGTTACTCGACCCTGATCATCATGAGTTGTAGGGCTAAGAGATAGAACATCTGGGTTTTAGTCCTATTGAGTTTTCTTCTGGCTGAGTGATCTAAGTATGTTACTTTGCCTCTCTAGGCCTCCATGTTCTCATTTGTAAAATGTTGAGTCTGTGTTAGTTCAGCATTTCTTAACCTTCTTCCATCAGATAACAGACATGACAGACATGATTTACATGCATGACACACCCGTAAGAAAGGCTGCAGGTTATGTGCAATTCCCAGCAAGCTGGCTGTAACCCCACCTCTCCCTTCTACTCAAGAAAGGATATTGGAATGCAATAGGGTAAAAGGGGGATGATATGGTAGGGATAACCTTGACTCTATTCCAACTCATTTTTTAAAACATTATTTATAATCTATAGTACTATAATTTGTTAAATACAACTACTTTTAACAAACCATGTGTCTTGACAACATAGTTCAGAACTAATGGTTAAAAATGCTCCTTAAGACTATTTTCCATCTCCAAAATTTTAGTTTCTGAAAATTTGGCCAAAAAAAAAAAAGGGAGTTCTAAGATCTTTCTGTAATAATGCAAGCATCACTGCAATACTTGAATACTTGAAGCAAGACTACTCAATTGTATATATAAGTTTGAGTGTAAGTTGAATGTGCATGTGATAGGAGCTTTATTCAGTCATTCATTTCATATTTATTGATAGCCTCCCTGTGCAATTTCTAAGGTTCTAGAATTCTAAGTTGTGGTGAGTTGATTAAAATGTAGTGTCCTTAATTTACAGTAGCAATTCAAAAAGTACAGCTTAATAGTGTTAAGAAAGAAAGGAGTTCTGTGGTCAGAGAAGTTTGGGTCAATTAAAGTTAGTCAGGTTTATTTACTGCAGAACTTCTCAAGCCCTTTAATCTGTTAATGTCTGTTAA